CTTGAAAAATCTGTGTCTCAAATTTGGTGGAGATTGGTGAGCAAAAAAGGGTTAAAATTAAGGTTTGTGGCTAATTTATTAATAGAATTTCGACGTTGATCACCAAAAAATTTCGGAAAGTACACTTCCCAATCGTTTAATGTGACTATTATGTAAAAATAAATTAATTGTTTTTCCAAAAAAAATATGTTTGTACACCCATCGCGCGTAATAATAATAAATAGTTTTATTATTAAAAAAAAAATTGGCAGTTAAAAAAGTAAGTGATATTGATTGGTGGCGGTGATTTGATTCACTCTAATTTTAGCGTTAAGTTAAGCTTGGATGGAAAATCTGTGTTCAGTTTGATACGTATATATGTATATTAGCTTTAGTTTTACAAATAGATATATTCAAGTTTTAATTGGATAGAATTAAAGTGGTACGTGTATCATAACTGATAAAATAAATAATTTTTGATATAATTATTGTTTATTTCTAAAGCAGTAAAACTGATTTTTTTGTTTTAGAATCAACATAATAATAATAAAGTGTACAACTACATAGTCAACCTGTTAGTCCGAAAAACCCTGTTGAATCAAAGAAACAGTAAATCCAACCCGTTAAACCAAATTTGTTGAAACCTAATTATAATACTTATTATTATGTAACCCGTTCATCTGCTGTGACTGTATGCGTAACATTATTTTACCCCTATTTAGTAAAATTGATTCACTGTAATTTTTGTGATTATTAATTTGTAAAATGAGTGAAATTTTCAACTCATTGAATGAATTACTCACCAAGCTAAATGAATTAAATGAACTTATTAATTCAAACAAATTACTCAACACATTAAAAATAATAGAAAATTGTATCAATTGTAAAGTAAATATACAAAAAAATTATTATTATTTATTTTATGAATCATTAAATGAACTAAAAAAGATTTCAGAAAAATTAGACAAGGAAAAAAATGAAGATAGGGAAGCAGAAATAATCCATAAATTAAGTGATGAATCAAATAAATTAGATGTTGAAATAAATAAATTATTATGTGATGGGTGCCAAAAGAAGAGTATATTTGATCCATTATACAAATTACTCAATGAATCAAATAAATCAATTATTTCAAACAAATTACTTGACACATTAAAAATAATAGAAGATTGTACCAGTTGTACAAAAAGATATAATCATTATTATTTATTTTATGAATCATTAAATGAACTAAAAAAGATTTCAGAAGAATTAGACAAGGAAGAAAATGAGAATAGGAAAGCAGAAATATTCCATAAATTAAGTGATGAATTAAATAAATTAGATGTTGAAATAAATAAAAAAGTATTATGTTATGGGTGTCGAAAGAAAAATATATTTGATCCATTATATGAGTTACTCACCAAACTAAATGAATCAAATGAATCAATTATTTCAAACAAATTGCTTTACACATTAAAAATAATAGAAGATTGTACCAGTTGTACAAAAAAATATAATTATTATTTTTTATTTTATGAATCATTAAATGAATTAAAAAAAATTTCAGAAGAATTAGACAAAAAAGAAAATGAAGATAGGAAAGCAGAAATAATCCATAAATTAAGCAATGAATTAAATAAATTAGATGTTAAAATAAATAGATTAAGATTATGTTATGGGTGTCAAAAGAAGAATATATTTGATCCATTATATGAA